TATTTTTTTTATGGCGTAAGTCGATAAACGAGCAGACTGATCACCTGATGATTAGCAATCGTCGTCGCCCATGGACACCTGGAACACCAGAGGCTTTACAAGTGCGTTACCGGCTTTTTGGGGATTAGGAGTTTGAGGATCGTTGAGGATTCAGAGATTGGGGAGATTGAGGTAGGGGAGGGTAATTGGGCCTCCGGTAACCTCACTCACACGACGAAACACAACGCAAGCGTTGCTTCACGTCGGTTTTCTGTGAGGTCGTAGTATCACTCCGGTCGAGCCGGCCCATTCGTGCTGAAGCATGGCTCTCCCGCACTTAGATAATAATTAACTAAAAATAACAATTTACTCACGTCAATATACTGAAATAAGGTCTACTAGATATTATAAAAACATTAGATCATAATTTGAAAGCATCGAATTTGGTTTCGATTCTTATCCTTCGCATCTTTCATTAACCACGGGTCCTCAGTTTGCCACGTCTTTATCATTTTCAACAAGCAAAAATTCAACTAAATCTATCGTTCATTCTAAAACTAAGCAGTGTGCACACAAAGTTTCGTCACTCCGTATCCGGTAACATCCCTTCCCAAAGTGAGGTGCGCTTGAATCCGTTCGGAATCAAACTGCGGTGAAACTGTACAGAGGCGGCGCGAGTTTGCTGCTAATGTATTTAGACAGCCTTAGCTATGTCGCAAGCAGTCACTACCACTAACGTAAATATAGAGGTACGCTCAAGTTTGTTTGTAGTGATAAAATTAGTGTATAGACGCGCTAAGTTTAGTGCAGGAAGTAGTTTTCATCGTAACGTTTGTAGGAAATGTAACTAATGTTTGTCGTGTCGTGTCGTCGTCTTGTGTGAGCATTGCTATCCTAGGTATTTCTAAAGATCTCCTCGATTAGTGTAGGTATTACAAGTCTATAAAATTATTATTAAAAGTATTATGTCTTCTTGGCCAAGTTGTCGCAAGTGCGATTGCGGCAAGGGGTCTCGGGTTCTATTCTCAGGTCAGGTTAAGAACAATCACAGTAGTAGCACGGAGTCTGTCATTGTGTCCGGTATATGGCAATAGGCTCACCCCCTATTACATGGGACTCATAACATAAATAGTGAAAAGTGGGTGTTACATTATAGAGTGGCACAGTGGCATTAAGTGCCGTAATTACCTCTGCCTACCCCTTCGGGGATGAAAAGCGTGATGTTATTTTATGTTATTATGTCTTCTTCAAGAATTCGCTTTGCAAATTGCAAAAGGTGTAGTGTTATACTGGTATGGACCTTTGAGAACTTAAACTCTATTGTTACTCTATTGCAGAGAAATCAATTTTGATGTCGATTTCGAGACATACAGATCTAGTTTTTTAGGAGGATTTGTTTCTTCCATCATTAAATGCTTCCATGGAATAAAACAGGAATCATATTCTGCACGGACGAAGTCACAGGCAACAACTACTTAACAAGAACAATATCTCTTGCTTTAACAACAACAATATTCATAATAACTCACAGCCCATAATGTTCTAAATACACAAAAACTTAATTAACATATATTGTTTTCAAAATACACATCCCTACTTATGAATTAACGATAAATGATTATTTGTATAAAGAAGTTTCCATGTATGTTGATTTGTTGGAAAGCGTTCTATGTAGTAAAGGTTATGAAAATATTATCTTCACCAGCGTTTGGCTTAGAAATGGCGGAGCAGGCTTAAGATTAATTGCGGACGTAAATAAAGGAATTTGTGAAATACTAGGTTTGCCTGTGGGTAGCACCAGATTTTGATAATGGCTAAGAATTAATTTAATACGTCTATTGTGAATATTCCTCTTTCAGATTTATTCATGGCTAGGTGCCTACTTGAAAAAGATGAGCAATTTAATTGGATTATCTAAAAGTAATTTGATGAAATTAGAGGATGTGTTTACTGACGATTGGTAACATGAAGCTAGCTTGTGCAGGAGTAGGAACGGGGTGGTTTTTAGTTAGTAAGAGTCTGGCACTCCCTCTTTCCTCAAAGGAAAAAGTCACTGGGTGATTTTCCCCTCAAACAAATAAAAAAAGCTATTTAAATTCCTCTAATCTTAAATTGGTATAAATTTATTTTGTAGGTAATTGAGAATTGTGAGGTTTTATTTATTTTTGAAATACGACTAAGCTCTAAAAGATAGGTACCCATTAGTACCTATTCATTGTTATTATAATGTGACTATTAATAATGTGTGCTTCTTGATTATTCAATATAAGTTCCTGGATGATACATAAAATATATTCTATGAACTTTTAGAGAATAATAAGTTAACGTGATTTTAATTTATAAGTTTACAAGAGTCAAACTGAAGTAAACTAAAATGTAATAATGTAGCGAATATGTTTCTAAGTTTGTTACCAATCAGATGTTACAGCAATCAGTAAACATTTCCTACAAGTTTGGGAACCCAAGCACTGTGTAGACGATGTTTGAAGAACATTCTGTTTAATTACCTCAAAGTGTGATCTATTATGTAAGTAATAAGAACTAATTCGTTTCGTGTATTCGATCAATGTGAATTTTGAACAGTAACATTACTTTTCCCTTTTTTAAAAAAAAAAACGTTTTATCATATTGTGTTATGGGTACTTTCAGATACATACAATAATACGCACATATCACACTTAGATACAAAGAATTGTTCCGCGCGGGAATCGAGCCCAGAAGTTAAGAAATGTCATGAATGACAATGATAGATACAGAATGTTAAGTAGACACTACTATTCGGTAAAATAAACATAGCATCACGCCTTTACCCGCGAAGCGGTAGGCAGAAGTGAACATTACGGCATTTAATTTCACTGTAAAATGTAACACCCACTTTTAATTACTTATGTTATGAGTCCCATGTAATAGAGGGTGAGCCTATTTGCCATATACCGGGCACGATTCCAAACTCAGTGCTACTACTGAGATTTTTTTTAAAAACCCAGTAATACTTTGCCCGACCCGGGAATCGGACTCAAGACTCCTTGTCCGGCAGACGCACTAGCGAAAGAAAAATAAACTCTATAATTTATCCTTGATGACGACTGTACGACTTATATATTCCAAGATAGATAGATTATACAGAACCTAATTGGATGATGATTTATATTCAATATTATAAATCGGAAAGTGAGTTTGTTTGTTTGTTCCGCTTTCACGCCGTAACTACTAAACCGATAGCTTTGAATTTTTGCAGACGTAAAGTTAGAAGTCCAGATTAAATAAATAGGGTATTTTTTATCCCGGAAAAAATTGATATTCCCGAGTGAAAACAAAAGTATTGGTATAGATGGCGCTGTGTATATCGTTATATGTCACATAGGCTACTTTTTATCCTTTTGTGACGCGAGCGAAGCCGCGGGTAAAAGCTAGTATTCTAATAAATGTTTAAGTAAGACTTCATTAGCAGAAGGAAGCTACAGACGCATACATCATCACCAACGTACCGTAACTTTTAAGCCCTAAGACAAGTAATAATCTACAAATAATACGAGCTAAGCAATAAGACTTCTAAGTCATGGACCATTAATGTCATATTTGCCTAAAGCTGGGCCTTCTTTGAAATTTTAATTATTGTTAGTTATACGTTGTTCCTAAAATAGTTATTTTATATCTTACTGGTAATGCAATAAAGGTGAAAAGTTTATTTCTTTGTTGATCCCTTTTAAGAAGCTCGTTCCTATTAAAACTTAAAGTAATGCCATTCGTGTTTAGTCATACAGTCGTCAGCATGGAAGAAACTGAAAGCTAAAAATATTCGCATTAGGATCTGCAACTATGGATTTTATGAATGGAGAATTTATAGGTGGATACTATGGATTAAGACTACGACTATGGATTTTTATTACACTAAGTGTAAACACTTAAAACAAAAGTAACAAAAACCACTAATTTTTTACAAGCCTAATCAAAAATATTTCACAGTATGTCTTTTAGTTCTTAGATTATTTTCTAGGAGTACCATTAAAAAAAATGAAAAAGTCTTTATTTATTCGCGACAACATAATTATGACAGATGCGGCCTTTACACTTTGTTCATTCTAAAAATAGTACTTGTACGCAACCGAAATTGGTTTTTACATCAGTAAATACAGTAGTATAAAGTACAGTAGCATACAGTTTTCTTCAAAATCAATTGTACTTTCACTAAAAAGTATTGAATCTCATACACAGTGAGCCATGTCGATGGCAGACGAACACTTTCTACGCCAGTTTCATTAAAAATGTCGCGTCATCGGTTCATAAAAGCGTACTGACTCCCATCATATTTTTAATCTTCCAGCTGAACAATAAGTCTGGCGCTTGCGTAGTAAATATCCTTATTTCATGTGTCTAGTTTCTGTATTTAAGACTTAGGAAACGCTTTACTCTGAAATGATAATACGGTATTTTGAAACAATGATAATTATTTAAAGAACGTACCATAACATTGTCAATTAAATTGATGTTTTGGAGTAAAGATAATGTAGTTAGTACCTTGTTAGGTATATGGAACATTTCATATATCGAAAAGCCATAAACAAACACTATGACATTCTGGAGCAGCCTATCTTAAATTTTGAATTCGGCAATCGTGCTTACAAACCCTCGTCTGATGCGTTTGTCAATTTCATTTGAATTGAAGACAATATTGTGGTGGCCTGGAGGTTTAAGGTGCCCGCTTCTTATGCATGAGAGTTCGGGTTAGAAATCTCTCAACGGCAAATGCCAATGTGACTATTTCCGAGTTATATGTACACTCTAAGATTATTTAGACACCACTGCCAACGGTGAAGGAAAACATCGTGAGGGCCTACCTAGGCTTATAATTTCTAATTTTATAATTTGAAATCCAACCCGTTTTCAGCAAGCGTGATGATTAATGCTCAGACCTTCTCCATATGAAAAGAGACTTTTGGTGCCATGGCCACTTGGCGTGGCTGTTGATAAAGACAATATCTTGTTTACAAGAAATTATATTTATTTGGTTTTTGTTTCAGGGTCTCATAGAAGAAATAAACTTACACACTAACGCCGACGAGGATACTTTAAAGTTAGTATGTGAAAAGGTACGTATAACAATAATTTGTACAACTGTCTGTATTTTCATTTATGGCATAGTGAAGCAAACGAGCTGACGGATCACCTGTTGGTAAGCAAGCAATGTCACCTATGGACACCAGTAACACCGCGCGCTGGAGTTGCGAGTGCGTAGCCGACTTTGTGTGACAACCAACCGCTTTGGGACCAGAGGACCAATCAACCCGGTATACACAAGGCTGACTAGGAGAAAATATCATATGGTATTAAGTCCGCCTAATGTACCTTACTTTTGTGTGCATTAAGCCGGAATGCCAACGAGACACAACGAATTTTCTATTGTGTCTTTTACACCGGATACAAGAGGTTAAGGAGTTAATAAATAAATAATAAATACAACAAAAGCATTTTTAAACACCTGTTTTTTGCGAAGTCGTGGTTAAACTCCAGTTGATGAGACCTTTTTTGCCGAAGCATTGCCACGTGATTGCACTTTTCATTTGTTGTTGTTATTTTCATTTCATATTTCATAAACATTTTTTAATATGTTTTTTACGTTCCAGGCTAGATCAATTACAGATATAGTTAGTATATTTAAATGTATTCAGAAACCTGTCGCTTACTGCTGCTGTTCTTGTTAAAACTCGTCCTAACTTTTGAATCTTTTTAACGCAATTATTATTCTAATACGTAGTAGATTGATTGCTACTACCAAGTGCACCATGTGATTTTCAACTTACGATCTGTTTTACAACAACCATTAATACGTGCAACACAAAAACTGTTTATTTAAATGTAACTTAATCATTTTAAATGAATATATTAGTTAGTTCATTTCAAATGATAAAATTACATTTGAAAGCGTTAAAAAGATAATGAAACTGTATTTTTCCAAATTTAAATTTATTTTCGTTTCAACACTAAATAGATTTTGGGGTAAATTCGATTTGGTTGTAAAATTCTTGTAGATATCTGATTACTTTTAGTTGTACATAAATACAGTTATATTGGTATCTTTTCTTAAACTTCTATTACAAATTTACTACAAAGGATGTAATAAAAATACTCAAATTATTGTTTTTAATGTCTTCTTTGTTTTAAGTTCATGAGAATAAAGTTTGAGACAAGATATTGTTTCAGGGCTCCAAAATGTTCAAGAGCAGTGGTAAACATAAAATAATATTACTAAACTCTTCGTAGGATTATTTAACAATAAATACAAAATTCCCAAAATAATATATCATTACTTTAACAATAATTCTTTAGATACCTACTAAAAATAATTGTTTTTGAAATAATATTATTCAAAAAATAATCAAAAATGTAGATTTGATCGTAAACTGTCATTGTTGAACTGAAATATTAAAATTATTATTTTATTTAACGTCTATTTTCTGTCCTAGATTACATCATACACTGATCCAGTAAGTCTGTTACTTATTTCACTTCAATTTTTAGTAGATTTCTTGTAGTTTTTTCATATTTTTATAAATATTTTGAATGATCGTCAATAATGGCATGTTATTTTCTGTTTCATTTAAAATGATTATCTATACAATATTTTCCTGTTTTATCAACTGAAATACTTCTTTTCCATTTGCTTTGAATGTACTTACCCCAAAAACTCTTTTAAAAAGAAAAAGGGGTTTGAAATATATTTATATATTTTTAAATGGAGAGTCTAGGCATATCGTACTAATTTCTATTTTCTTCAAGGCTTTTGAACTTTTTTATAACCAAATTCCTCCTTAAACTGTCTCAATATCTATTAAACTGTGGTCATAGTCTTCTATAATATCTAAGCTTCACAAATATAAAAACATATTTATACTTCATATATCTAGAATCTATACTTTGTAGTTTTACCTTTATAGCACAAAAACGGAGCTTCGTGCATCAACATGTAGTTAGATAATATTAACCTATACCTAAGTAGCTATCAACTTCTTAGTATAAGAAGCATGTAATAAACTTTACATACCTAAGTAGATTTTTAGGTACTAACAAATTGTGTATAACTTTACAGCAATAATAATATACATAAATAATAACGTATTAGTCAAAATTATATCCCTTCCATTTCGAAAGGATTGGATCGTACATTAAACATTTTTTTTGTATTCCACTCGATATACCATTATAATTTTAGACCAACTTAACTGTATTAAGTCGATATACGTATTTCAAACAATAAATCGAGATGAATTGATGACTTTTTATATGTTGCTTAGCCTGAACTAAACTGCACCTGTGTGTCGCACCCGTAAAAATGCAACAAAATGCATGAAAAATATACTTTAAGAGTATCCACTCATCTCAAACAAAGTAACGTAACGTTTGGTCTAATAATCGTGATGGTATATTCAGGGAAAACTTGTAAAATTATGAACATAATATTGGGTGGTTTCCTTGGTCAAAAACAAATTATTTCAAATAATTTAAACAATAAAAAATTCAAAAAATTACATTATTTAACACTTTTATATTAATTGATTATCTTTTATTTGTTTTTTTTTAATTGGAAAAAGAAATAATGATATTTGACGCACAAATTGTATGATGTCACAATTACACTATCTTGTAGGAAAACGGCATTTTGACATTTTGAAATAGTTTTGTTTTTGCTAGTTGGAAACTTACCTTATTACCTTATTAATAATAACGTTTGTTTAACATAATCTCTCAAAATTCTAACCTGTTATGTTTGGCTTTTGAATTCCTCTACTTTAATGTCTATGTGCTTATTGCAGTGTTTTTGATAAAACTTTGTATCATAGAAAATGAATAACCAATAACACGATTCTCTATTATTTCGACAGAAATACTTATTTGTCTATATTTTCACAGCTTGGGCCAAGTCTAGTAACCACTACTGTCATAGTTCCTCCTACAACAGAAGGTGACTCTTTTCATTATTTCATCAAGTAATTTAAAATAAAAAAAATATCTTAAATTGCATATAAACATATTTTTAAAAAGATATAACCATACTATGAAAACATGTGTTCAGGTCCTTCACCGCCTGAAAAAGGTGAAAAAGGAGAAAGGGGAGACCAAGGAGAAAGAGGAATACAAGGCCTTAAAGGCGAAGTAGGTGCACCAGGTGTTAAAGGAATTAAAGGCGAAAAGGGAGATAAAGGTGATCTTGGACAGAAAGTAAGTAACATAGTAAAGAAAACATATTAATTTGTCGTTAATTCATTCAAGAATGAAACTAAAATAACATTTAAATTTTACAGGGTGATTTGGGACCTCAAGGACCACTTGGACCAGTAGGACCAATTGGCAAAAAAGGAGAGGAAGGAGTAAGATTGTTATATTTCATTTATTAAATATTTATTACACAAATAATAGCATTTGATTGCATAGTTGAAAACTTTTCTCATTAATTTTCGAAATTAAATAAACGCGCATATAACCGTATATAACGCTACTCTTATATATCTTTACTAGGCATGCCAATGTTCAGAAAAACTGGTATCAAGTCTGCTTCTGTCAATGCCAGAAATGAAAGGACCTGCTGGTGAAAGAGGACCACCAGGATATGATGGCCCCGTTGGACCACCAGGTAAAACTGTAAGTATTATGGACTAAATAAAAACAGGAGGTTCAGAACTGAAGTAGACGTTTTTTTTTTTGATAAGTGAGATGTAAAATCTTAACAATATCATTTTAAATTGTAGGGTAACATTGGTCCTATGGGTGAAAGAGGACCAATGGGTTTGAAAGGAGAACCCGGAGCTAGGGGGGACGATGGTTTACCAGGTAGAGATGGGACTGTTGGACCAAAAGGGGAGCCAGGTAAAGATGGCATTCCAGGGACACCAGGAGAAAGAGGGCCCAGAGGAGAGCAGGGACCTCCGGGTGAAATACGTTTGGTGATTATTGTTCTTTTAACTTATTAACTTTTGTAAAGATAATACTTGATTTGAATACTCAAAACTTACGTAGTTCGTATTTTATTAAACCAAGTTGCAAATGACAACTTGTTAATCTTTAAATTTTTATTATAACGAAATTGTTCTTCGTTACTCAACAAAATATTTTATTTTTGGATAAATTCAAAACTTCAATCTGAATAACTTTTGTCATTCCAAGCTTAGATTTTTCAACCACATTGTTTAAACTTACAGTCATGAACCTTTCATAAACCTTCTTGTTTTACTATAATGCAAGCAACAATCTTAGAAGTAACTTTGACAGGAAACAGACGAGGAGATAAAGTCAAGAACCGTAGTTTTACCTGGTGAAAAAGGAGATGAAGGACCAGTGGGACCTCCGGGTAGGCAAGGCGAAAGGGGTGAAAGTGGAGATCGAGGTGAGAAAGGGGAACCTGGACCAATGGGACAAAAAGGAGATCAGGTAAGAGAAAATAATTTTACAGCATTAACATAACTGTTATAAAATAGGGGTAAAAGACAAGTACATACAAAAATTTACTTGATTTTTCATTCATATCTTATACTATTATAATTAATATAATAATATTATGAGAGTTTGTTTTTTTGTTTCTTTGTTTAAACACGCTAATCTCCGTAACAGCAAGTCTGATTTGAATAATTATTTTTGTGTTGGATAGTACATTTATCGAGGATGGCTATAGGCTATAAACCATTACGCTACGACCAATAGGAGATAAGCAGAGCGTGTGAAATAACGTGGAAGTAGCTATTATCAATATAAAAACGGGAATCGACAATCTAATAACATTGAGTTTTTACAATATAATGATATTGTAAAAAAATTGACAACTCTTTGTGCTGTTGACAAAATCAAAACACTATGTATATCATTTGACGACAATAGTCATATAGAGGAAACAAAAAATCTAGTTTGAACAAAAATACTCAATCACAACACTCGATCGTATCTAAAAACAAAGTGAGAACGAAACAAGTTGTATAATATTTTAGGGTCACAAAGGTCTTCAGGGCCCTAGAGGTGAAAAGGGTGACATAGGTGAGGCGGGAGAGGATGGATTACCTGGGACACCGGGCACACATGGCCGGCCTGGAGATAGAGGCGAAAAAGGTAAAAATGTTTTCCATTTAAAAAGATGTTGACATGTTAGTAAGCATGCTTTAGCCTAGTCTTAACTAGTGATTAGTTGCGTGCATTAGAAAGATCTATGCCAGTGGGACTTTATTAAACGACTTTATAGAAAATTGGTTTTCCTTTGACCTGTAGGTATGTATATATTTATGTATGTATGTTTGTGTGCATTTATCTGGCGATTAGCTGAATCGATTTTGATGCGATTTTCAGTTTTTGTTAGTTACACTTAGAAAAAAATTTAAATATATTAATTAACCGAATTCAAAATAAAAGGATTTGCAGTGTCGGCTTTCTAAACGTAGATTATTCCATATAAATTGATATGATTTATATGATTCGATTAAAAGAGTTATTCGACAACCTAAATTACGACTTCATACTTTTAGAATTTCCCAACACACAAGACAGTTTTGCCACAAAGTTATACTACCTATATGGAACACATTTTTCATCAGATATGCTACAGGTCAAATGTAATAGGGGTCGAGCCAAAAAAGTGAACATTATAATTTTTATCATTATTTTCCTGTTATTTGTGCTATTTTTTCTACTACAATGTGAATTCCGTTATTTCTTTACATAAGTATGCACAAAAACTAAATATTTATATTTTTTAGGTGAAAGAGGTGACAAGGGAGATAAAGGTGAAGACGGACGGCCTGCATCGCTAAAATCAGTTTTAGATGCTGAAAGTAAGTATCTTTTCCCACAATACAATAACATACAATTTATTATTATCATTATAACAATCAGCTATCGATAAATAAGTTTATCAACTTCCCGCATATAAACTTAGTTTTTGACACGATATATGCATATGCACCCTTGAAGATTTTACATAGCAACCATTTGCTGTCTCGCAAAACCGTGCCAGGTATTGGTTGTTGTCTTTTAAAATTGAACATCAAAACGTTAGCAGAACTTTAAGAGTTGGTATTTGAATGTGTTCATAAAAAAATCGTTTCAATAATTTTTACTTGACCAAGGTACAGATAGATATAAATAAACATAGAATCATATTTACGTAAATAAAGATAGAAACATAGTCCACTAGAGTATGTAGCTATTATAGATACTACCATCAAAAGAAATCTTCTCACATAACAACAATTTACTATTTATTTAGATCTTTTCATTCAAGTTCGAAGCATAATACAACCTGAATAAATTTCAATATCAAACAAAGCATTCTGGTCACGTAAATGTAATAACGTAAGTAGATTGAATCCCTAAACATTTTTTGCTACTATCGGCTCTATTGGCTTTGATCCTGAGTCCATGTTGTGTAGTATAGGTAAGTTTATCTTGCCATCCTTTTTCGTTATAAGGGAAGTGAAAAAGACGGTAAACATACCAGAATATCTTAATAAACCTTTTGTTTACATTAAACTGATGAACATGATAGGTATTGTGATGTTTGGTTTACATAAATATTTTTAAAGCCATACAGGACAATGTTTATTATTATTTGGAGCCTTTTATTAAGCTGAATTGAATAAAGCACAATGCATTTCACATAAAAGCCTTACCACCGTAGTACCCAATCGTAATGAAAAGGATTACTATCCTTTATTATCAATAATGTGTGTGAAAATAAATGTTATTTCAGATGCAGAGGTAGTGGAAAAATTGAGAGGGATCAAAGGCGAAAGGGGAGAAAGAGGTGAAAAGGTATTTCATTAATCCCTTATTGAAATCTGGGAAGTGTCGCTTTCAGATTTAATATTTTTAACGAATATTTGTCCTGTCAACATTGTATATTTTATGTCGCTTACCTGCAATAAAAATAATATTGAATTTACTATAAAGACGGAATTTAATCTGTGTGTGCAACGTGGGCGATGATACTAAAAAGTAATTAAAAAATACAATTCGTTTTTTGGATAATGATCTCTCACTTAAACATTTAATTCTAGGGTGAAAAAGGCGATCGAGGGGATACAGGATTACAAGGGCCAAGTGGAAAAGATGGTAAAGATGGCAAAGATGGAAAGAAAGGTGATGTCGGTCCAATTGGAAAGACTGGGCCTAAAGGAAACCAAGGAGAACGAGGTCTACCTGGAGAAGTACCTGAATCAAAAATAGCTTTATTGAAGGTAACACTGCATTTTTTCCATTTAAAATATATTTATTACTTTTAATAAACGTAATGGTTTCGGATTTTTTTAGAAACAAAGGTATAAAGCAAAAAATTGCTGAAATAACTTATTTAATTCTCATTTTCGACTTAATTACTATTAGTACTTATATTCATCATGATATTGTCGTACTCACTACCTTATTACTTTATTAACAGGGTTCAAAAGGAGATAGAGGGCATCAAGGACCAAAAGGAACACCCGGACCTACTGGTAGTAAAGGAGAACCGGGAGAAAGAGGTCCAGTTGGTCCTCGGGGACTAACTGGAGGAGAAGGTGTCCCAGGACCTATAGTAAGTCTCGAACATTATATTAACATTATGAAACGTACTTTACTTACGTATAAATGTATTATTTAATGCGTTTTATATTCTAGGGACCAATGGGACCAGCAGGTCATAATGGCACGAAGGGACAAAAAGGAGAAAGAGGCGCCAGTGCGCCGCCAGTCGATTTGTACAAGGTATCTTAACATACATAACATCACGCCTTTTATCCCCGAAGGCGTAGACCGAAGTGCACATTATGTCACTGTACAATGTAACATTCACTTTTCACTATTTATGTTATGGGTCCTATGTAAAAAGGGATGAGCCTATTGCCATATACAGGCACAATTCCAGAATCCGTGATACTACTGAGAATTAAAAAAAATCCAATTAAACTTTGCCCGACCCAGTAATCGAACCCGAGACCCCTTGCCCGGTAGTCGCACTCGCGCCCACCGGACAACTAGACAGATAAGGTATCTTACTATTATTATAAATGCGAAAGTGTAAGTTTGTGTGTAAGTGTGTTTGTTTGTGTATATGTTTGTTATTCAATCACCTCAAAATGGCTGAAGAAATCTGGATAAAATTTGGAATAGAGTCTGAAATTACACATTTGATACTTTTTATCCTGCGGGAACGTAGGTCAAACCGCAGGCAGAAGCTAGTGGTCCATATATACCAATTTTAGCAGAAAAAATGTTTATATTTGTACAAACAGACCGGAAAGGCGTTTCATATTCAATCATTAATTTTATAATTCTTCATTTTGATTGTATTGAACCAGTTTGAGGTTAATTTCACTTTAACACATTAAACGCTGCGGGGGTCACCGGTGACCGTCGTTAGCGGAGAATTTGCCTTCAACAATTTTCTATTGGCAGTCAAAGGCTTAACTTCTCTTAAGACACACAAAAAAAAAAATATAATTTTCCAGCTAAAAGGTGAAAAAGGAGACCGGGGTCTCCCTGGTGATCCTGGCCCTCCAGGGAAGTCTGGGCCAGAAGGTCCACCTGGTAAATGTATGGAAGCACCTGTTCGGCCACCCATACCAGGTCCACCAGGACCGCCGGGTCCACCTGGGCCTCAGGGAATTTCCATCGTTGGTCCTAAAGGAGAACCTGGTGTCACGCACATACAGGAGACGTATCAGACATTTGTCAAAGCTCCAGGTAAGAATATAGCGGTGTTTCCACTCTTTTCTTTTTAATCGACCTCTACTTAGCTTATGAAATCGAAAATCTTTACATATTTATACAACTCGACAATCAATCACTGTTATTCTATAATTATAATAAAAACAGATAACATACCAACACGCCTTTTATCCCCGAAGGGGTACAATGTAACACCCACTTTCCACTATTTATGTTATAAGTCCCATATACCAATAATGGGGGTAAGCTATAGAGGCTATAGAGCTTTATACAGCCTATTGCCCGGTATACAGTCAGTTATACCGGGCGCAATTCCGGACTCCGCTACTATTGAGATTTTTTTTAAAACCCACTAATACTTTCCCCGACACGGGAATCGAACCGGAGACCACTACCACTCGGTCAGCGAGGCAGTCCATCTAGTATAATTATAATAATAAGAATAAATGCCTTGAATTCCTTGATCATTAGAGAATCGGTGAGAAATTAGAGTTTGTAAAAGAGACAACTTTCCTGGGAATTACTGTAGACGACAAATTGCAATGGGGTCCTCACATTACATCATTAGCGGGACGATTGAGCTCTGCAGCTTATGCTGTCTGGAAGATACGACAGTTAACTGACATAGACACGGCAAGACTAGTGTATTTCAGTTACTTTCATAGCATTATGTCGTATGGCATCTTGCTGTGGGGACACGCTGCTGACATTGAATCTATCTTTATCTTACAAAAGCGCGCCGTCAGAGCTATCTACAATCTAGGTCGTCGCGAATCACTCAGAGAAAGGTTTAAGGAGATCAACATTATGACCGTTCCATGTCAATTTATTTATGAAAACATTATGTATGTTAGGAAAAACCTACAGTTATTTGGTAAAGTGTCGGACAGACACCACTATCAAACTAGACATAAGAATAGATTAAGTCAGCCAATTTCGAGATTAGCGAAAGTAAGTAAGTCGTTCATGGGATTCTGTGTTAAATGTTATAATAAGATACCAGGCGATGTACAACAACTAAATGAATCGAAATTTAAATTATGTATAAAGAAAACTTTATGCAGACAAGCATATTACAAACTTAATGAATATATAGAGGATAAAAATGCTTGGATGCAGGCTAGTCCGGCTCCACAGGATAACTAAAAACACTTGTTTTAATGAAATCGTAAATAATACAGCCATATTGCTAAATTGTATATTGTTTAACTTAGATAACCATTGTAAATGTGAGAGCCCTGTAATTAACTTAATATTAAATTAGATTAGTAGATTTCATTTGTGTCAGCTTGGAGTTGTCATGCTCACTCAAAGGTCTCATTGGCGGTGGCGCGTGCAGTGGATCGCTCGATTCCCTACAATATGGTTGAGTTGGGCGGTGCTGGTGTACGTGTCATGTTCGTGAACGGGCGCCGTCAACTGGGACTGGTCAGCTCCAGACTGTATTACTGTCCTTAAGGTTATTTTCTTTTTTGATCACTTTGACTGGATTTTAGTGTTACATTGTTCTCGCACAATCCAAACAGCAAAACTATGTAACTAGTAAATTGTATTGTGAACCTGATTGAAAAAGAGTAACCTATGGAGTTTCTTGCTCGTTCTTCTCCATAGGAATCTACGCCTTGGAATGAGCAAATAGCTTCACTTTAAATTTTTGTTTTTGTTGACGTTCAAAAGTGCCATTCTGGCCTAATTGAAATAAATGATTTTGACTTTGACTTTGACTTTGATTATCTTTTAGTTACATATATTACCAAATAATTTGCTTTGGAGTGTGTTTAAAAAATCATTAAACAAGTTGTTTAACTAACAGGTGACCCAACTGATGAGGATGACTTCTATACACTAAACACTATGGTGTTTAGGACGAAACGTGCTCTTTTGAAGGTAAATATTTATTATATACAAGTTATATAGGTAACGTAAGCTTCCTTGTAATTTTCAGCAGGCAATGGAACTTCATAAACTATACAAAACCAAAGAAATATTCATTGTATTATTGTGTCATAGATAACATTGGTATTCTATAAACTTAAAAATTAAAATTAAAAATTGTATGGAGAAACTAAAACTTATGAATTGATGTGAGTTATGATGAAGTGACATTTCTTTTGATTTATTGTTCACATACATACATATATAACTTCACACCTGTCTTCCATGGCGGTAGACATCTGCCTAAATTAGTTTGTTTAAAGAAGCATAATAGCTAATAGGTTAACAATATATATAATATCTACGATTCCTTGGCGTTCCATAGTATCTACTATGGACCGCCAATTGCTACGATTCTTACACATACCTCTTTCGCTTCATCACTAGTCATCAATCTTTTCATTATTGTAAACCTATTAGCCATTATACTTCTTTAAACAAACTAATTTAAAAGCCATCACATAAATTGCATTTTCTGGACATAAACCATATTAACATAAGAAGCACAACGTATGAAAACAGGGGAAACTATTCAAAGCGAAATATTTCTACGTGAACAGTTCCATTACCTTGAACAATAGGTAAATATATGTACATAATTGGTTTCCTTTTGCAGAAAACAGAGGAAACGGAGCTTGGAACGTTAGCGTACGTTTTAAAGGAGAAAATATTGCTTCTCAGAGTTGAAAACGGCTGGCAATATGTTGTGGTAAATGGCGTTATTGATTTTGAAGTTCTTATCCTTATACTGTTTCCTTAACATGTGCTTTGTTCGAAGTAGAATGTTGTTATCACAAACACAAAGATCAAGAACGATAATCAGGGCTACTAAGGACCTACTAAAGAATATTTCTTTTCATTATATCCACCCAAAGGTTGTCTGGTAGAAATCACTATAAGTGATGAAACCGCCTTTGTGCCCATTATTATTTTTATTTATATTTGTCATTTCCTTTTCTGTATGTACTGTATTATTAATGGTGTACAATAAAGTTATATTCTATTCTATTCTATTTCACAATGCCTGGATAATCGATATTACTAGAAAATAACGTAGTATAAACTATCTAGCACATAAAATTAATTGATACTTATAATAAAGCTTGTTAAATAGGCGCTAAAGAGTTCTTACCACATTTTTTTTGTTGTAGTTATTAATACTTACAGACAAATATGTTTATATAGAAACCATTATACACCAGTTATGTTATAATTCGTGGCAATAAATAGGGTAAGAAATAGGCAGAGATGCTTTTCTCCAACAGTTCTCAGGCATTTCAATTAATAAATTTGTTTTACAAACGTTATACTAATGTCTTATACACAAATAGAATTAAAGTCGTGTTATTTTATTAGATGGCTTCCATGTTGGATTCAAAGCCGACCCCGCCGCCTACAACGACGACTACTACGACAACCACCACTACTACAACTGCCAGGCCAACTACTACAACTACAACTACAACTGCCAGGCCGACTACTACAACTACTACTACAACTGCCAGGCCGACTACTCCATCAACTGCCAGTCCTTTTGTACAACCAGTCGTTCGTCCATCGAAGAGAAGAGGCTACGTAAGTTAAACAATTTAAAAATGTTCATCTAAGTATTAATATACTTCCTTGAGAATAAGCTTTGTGTTCTAACATTTTATTCCTTAATTTTTGTTTAATAGATCTAATAGTGTAACTAGGTATGTGCATTAATTTGCTTATAATTATCTCAGTAGAAAGTAGTCGCTAGTGCGAGTACTGATCAAGTGTTCTAGGTTGCGATTCTCGAGTTCGATACAAACAATAGGATTTCTCAAGATTTTCTAGAATTTCTCAAAAGTAACTTGAATTTTAGAATTATACCCGGTGTCAAAAGTGTGATATTGTGTTTGGTTTTGCTCTATAAACATGTGTATTTTACAATTTTAAATTATTATCTTTCTAGATTCGAATGGTGGCTCTGAACGATCCATATACAGGATATATGTTGAGTCATAATAAAAAGGTTGGACGCGAAGGTGCTGACCAGTTGTGCTATGAACAAGGCAAGATGTTCAGACTTGGTGCAACGTTTAAACCATTTTTGGCAACAAGGTAACTATAAAGTTTATGAAATTTTTAAAAGAGACACCAAAGAACAGGATCTATCAATAAAAGGCTTAATGTATGAACTTCAGCCCTATATTTCACTGGAACATATTAGCGGCGCTACCAGTCACGCCACCATGGCTGCCAGACTGGCGGCTGAGTGAGTATGTCACCATACAGCTCTGTAGCAATTAATAGCGGCGCGAAAAGCGAGGAAAGACGACCACGACATTCTGCTATGGTTCTGTTGCCACATAGGTTTTTACGCAATATGTCGAATGTCTGCATTAATAAATTCCTTACAGTATAGGCCGTCATTCGACTAGCGTTTGAATTTCTTATAGTTACATAGGGGCCAGTGTTATTGCTTCTACTATAATTGTATTGTTGACTACCGCATTGGCCGAGTGGTCGCAAGTGCGACTGCTGGGCAAGGGGTCTCGGGTTCGATTCCTGGGTCGGGCAAAGTATTACTGGGATATTTTTTTTAATCTCAGTAGTAGCGCGCAGTCTGGAAATGTGCCCGGTATATGGCACTAGGCTCACCCTCTGTTACATAGGACTCATAACATACCTACATAGTGATATGTGGGTGTTACATTGTACAGTGGCATTAACTACCGTGATGTGCACCTCTGCCTACCCCTTTGGGGATAAAAGGCGTGTTGGTATAATGTTATTATTGTATTGTTTAAAAACTTTCTTTTATTTTAATGACAAGAACGTAAAACATTCAGAAATGATTAATTAACAGATAATTACTATTTTTGTTCATTAAAAATATTGTATTATTTTTTTACCTTTTTCCTCAGTGATCAAAACCTCATCAATATAGTTGGGAGGGCTGATTGGAATGCTCCAGTGGTCAATCTTAACAGATCGCTCCTATTTCCCTCTTGGGCAAGCATTTTCTTTGGGAGTGGAGCAGAATTCATCAATCCTGCTACTATCTTCAGTTTCAATGGGAAAAGCGTTATGATTGACTCGCACTGGTATGTATAACTTATACTGTACTACATAAGGTCTAAAATATGTTTTGAAAATCTGTTAGATTTCTTGGCTAATTACCACATTTTTGATCAATAATGCATTGAAGTATACCGTGTTATTTTTGAAAGTTTGTAATTTCTTCAAGGTTTAATAATATACGCCTACATTCATAGTTATGAATATACGGCCACCTTAAATGAATTTTGTTATTAGGCATAATAATAACAAACATAATTTATTGTTATAAAATATTTGCATAATTCCAAATTTCAAATAACGAATATAATTAGGACTGCCAGGAGGACTGCCTCGTTGGCCGAGTGGTCGCAAGTGCGACTGCCGGGCGAGGGGTCTCGGGTTCGATTCCCGGGTCGGGCAAAGTATTACTGGGTTTTTAAAAAAATCTCAGTAGTAGCACGGAGTCTGGAGATGTGCCCGGTATATGGCAATAGGCTCACCCCCTATTACATGGGACTCATAACATAAATAGTGAAAAGTGGGTGTTACCTCTGTGTGCACCTCTGCCTACCCCTTCGGGCATAAAAGGCGTGATGTTATATTATGTTATGTTGAATATAATTACTGCGATACTTGTCTGGAAACTTGAATTCAAGGTCTTAATTTCAGTATCATAATATGTATCATATGTATATGATAAGCTACAACGGCATACAAACGCTGCTGACCAAAGGCCTCGTCTCACATTCAGTCACCTACCTGTCTAGAGCAAGCGTGATGATAATTTACGTGTTGATGATTTTAAACTTGTAATTTCAAATTATAAGTCCAAGTGCCCGCACGCTATATTTTGTAATTATATAACTGTTACGACTTTAAAATACATAGTATTAAACGTTTCACTTTCTCAAGAGTGGAAAAGCCATGCTTCGGCACAAATGGGCCAGCTTGACCAAAGTGATATCACGTCACAGAAAACGGACGTGAAACAATATTTGCGATGTGTTTCGTCGTGTGAGTGACGTTACTATAGGCCTAATTACCATTCTATCTCCCTAATCCCTGAATCCCCCAACAATCCTTAAATTCTTAAACCTCAAAAGGTTGGTAACGCATTTGTAACACCTCTGGTGTTCCCGGTGTCCATGGGCGATGGCGATTGCTTACCATCCAGTGTTCCGTCTGCTCGTTTACCGGAATATCCCATGAATAATTATTAATTACTAGCTTTTACCCGCGGCTGCGCTCGCGTCACAAAAGGATAAAAAGTAGCCTATGTGACATATACCAATACACACAGCGCCATCTATACCAATACTTTTATTTTCCCTCGGGAATATCACATTTTTCCGGGTTAAAAAGTACCCTATTATTTAATCCGGACTTCTAACTTTACGTCTGCAAAATTTCAAAGCAATCGGTTTAGTAGTTACGGCGTGAAAGTGGAACAAACATACAAACAAACTCACTTTCCGATTTATAATATAAGTAAGGATTAATTGTATATTTTCAGGCCAACTAAGACAGTATGGCACGGTGGCCAAAACGACCACTATGGCTCAGCAGATTTGGACGCCAATTGCAACAATTGGAAGAGTGGCTCTAAGCATTATTATGGAGTTGCATCGTCATTAGCTGACAATCGTCTATTAAACCAAGAATTGTAAGTAAAATACTTACATTTTATTTACTTTATTTTATGTCTAATTTGTTTTGGTGTTTGGTTTTTTGACAAGATATGCTAACAACCAGATTAATGGTGGCTGGTCCCGCACGAAACAACTCTCTGTATCTAATCCACAGATTGTTGTTTCGGATCTGGGTTATATAATTATGTATGTGAACTTGTATGTTTGTAAACGCACCCACCACACAGAAGAAAATCAAAATTTGCTAAGTTTTCTTTAAAAAAAAGCAATACATTTTGTAACCGTTTTTTTTTCAGAGGATAAATAAAATATTCTCAATACATTACATTATCTTAGAATCTTAGTAATTGTAATAAAACCGTTTTTGCTTTGTCTTTACATATCTTTGTTTTTATATTTCAGATACACCTGTGATAGTAACTTTATAGTTCTTTGCGTAGAAGTAGAAGCTTTCAAAGGCGATCCAATGAAAGTGCGGAGACGGTAAGTTTCTGAGTATAATTTCCTATAGAGATGGTTAGTAAAATTATCTAAGTAATAATTTTCATTAGCACCTTAAACGCCATGGGGGACAAGGTATGGACCACGATAATGGAGGATTTACCTTTCACAGTATTCTGTCGGCCGTCAAACTGTTAAGGTGAAGGCAAAATTGTGGGTATCTAGGTATTTAGGTGCACTCACAATGCGCTAGTTATTCTAAACGACCCTGCTTGAAGGGGTCGTGGATTTTTGTACTCGAAAATCCTAATTTAACCCAAAAAGTATCTATCGGTTATTTATGATTAATAACACATAACAACTCGCCTTTTTATCCCGGAAGGGTCAGACAGAGGTGCACGTTATGGTACTTAATGCCACTGTGCAATGTAACACCTACTTGTCACTATTTATGTTATAAGTCCTATTTAATAGGGGTCGAGCCTATTGCCATATACTGGGCAGGATTCCAGACTCCGTGCTACTAGTAAGATTTTTTTTAAAGACCCAGTTATACTTTATCCGACCCGGAAATCGAGCCCATAAATAATCATATGGGGCTGATATATCTGTGATAAAAACCCCTAAAAAGATTTTAGATAAAAAAAAATTATAATAACCATCTGCTAAAAATACTATCCGGTGTTTTATTTTATTAATATTTTTATTTCTATTTTCAGACACCGTCGCGGCCGGCGGCATAATATAATTTATTAAATTAGTATTTTTAATGTTAAGAATTTAACATAAATAGCTTCTTTCAATTCGATTGAATGTCAAAAACTTCCATGTTCTATTAAGAGTTGTTATTTAAAAAATAATACTCTCATCACATTTTAGAAATAATAATATTTAAAAAAAGAAAATGCAATGCTTTAAATCTAATCATATTCATATATTTATTTATTTTCTATTTCATATTTTAATTCATTTTTGTAAATAGTAGTTAGATAGTCTGTTTTTTTAATTGATTTTATACAGAAAAATAAGCGAAATATACGTACTCAGAGCATTTTGAACAAAATTAAAGCATTTATGTACGATATAAATTTATTTGTACGAAATTTAATAGAATGCGAATATATAATAAACTAGCAGCCCGTCCCGGCTTCGCACGGGGTAGATAATTATTTATTTTTGGAAATTTGGATTGTTGTAGTGACGTGATTTTTTAACTGAAGATAGTTGAAGGGATGGATAGTCATATAGGCTCCTTTCTATCCTTTTGTGTTGCGAGCGAAACCGCGAGTAAAAGTTAGTTTAATAATAATTATAACAAACCTCTGTTTCTTTGAAAGAGTTCATAGAAGAGTATAACAGATAACCTAGTGCAATAGTTTTAAGTAAATTCGATTGACACGTTTATGACGTTCGGCGCTCTGATTGGTTTGCTCGAACTAACTATCCAATCAGAGAAAACATTGTCGATCACGTTAAAAGAAAGTCGAATATAGTCATTTGAATTACAATGTATTCTTAATTTCAACACTGCCAGTTATTTTCTGAAACTTTTGAATATTAAATAAAAATGTAAACTATAAAACGGTCAATGTGTATTTACGAGAACCTTTATACTAGTTTAAGTTGCTACGCTAGATCTAATATCACTCATTAATTAGTTTCTGAACTTTAAGGTGCTATCTCACCGGGAGCATTCGCGTGTAACGTTACAAATCTGAGCATTACATCAATGAAGGAGGAGAACCGAGCATTACAATGCGCACCTTGTAATGATACAATGTGTAATATATTGATACAACTTGGAACATCACAGCCCCTGCCCCCCGCTGCTGCCCGCCCGCTTCGTCTGATATCTTGCTATGAAATGCTCAAAGTCGAATCAATATGTTACATTGCACGCAAATGCTCGTTAGTCAGAGAGGTATTATTGTAATGTAATGCTCAAAGTCAAATCTAAAATGTTACATTACACGTGAATGCTCCCTGTGAGGGAGCACCCTTAGAAGATAGTTATTTTAAAATAATTAATTTATATTTATGAATGTTTTTATAATAACTATTGTGAGACATACTGAATAATTACCTAAAAAACGCGGGTTACTCACGTGAATATACTGGGAAAAGCTCTACTAGTTTCGAGCCCCGAAGGGGCTCTTCCTCATGAGTAGCGTAGAACTGTTGTCAGTATATTCACGGAAGTAACCCGTGATTCTTAGTTAATATACTTATGAATATTTATACCATTAGACAGTTGTTTAATATTTTTTTACAAATTGTGAAAAAAATTACGTGTTTTATCAAGTTTTATGTTTTAATTTATAAATAGAAATTAATTAAAATTAAATATTCAAAATAATATGTCAAAAAAATTAGAAGGAACCTTTTCTCTTTTAATTTACGAGTTTTCTGTACTTACCAAAAAAAATCTTTTTAGTAAAACTATTATTGGTAGTCAATATATCAGTTTTGTATAATCATAATTATTATTTATATTAAGTTGTAAGCCAGTGCCATAATAATATCGATGCAAATCTACAAAAACATCGTTGCAAAAATATTAAACCGACATTGAAATAAAAACTTCCCAAAATTTTGTATACTTGTTTTTTTTAAACCTTTTTACGAACTATTACGTAATAATAATATTATGCAGTGACATACACAACACACTTGCACTTACACACTCACACAAACCGACACACACCCACCCACACACACACACACTCACACACTTACACTTGAGTTAACTGCTTTTTTGAGTACTTTTTTTCCTTTTCTTTAGTTTTTAAGTAAAAAAAATGTAAACCCCTATAATTAATTATTAGCAGAGGAGTGGCGCCTCCTAGCACAGGTATTTTTGATATTTAAAAGGAGACCCCAGCGTAAGATTTATTGTAGAAGTTTCTAAGTTGCTAAATAAAGATTGTATTATTATTATTTTTCTATTTGTATATTAATCATACCAATGGACTACAAGGTCACATAGTCAATACAGATTTATACCCAATAGTACGAGACGCTAAATGCTATATATTAGGGCTGCCCAAACTATATATTCTCGGAGGCTAATTAAATTTATAACGAAAGCTGGAGGGCTAGAAAAATATTGTCACGTTGTATAATGATGTCTAAAATTGTATTCTTTACTTACAGACAAAATTTGTATACAAATCATACACTGAATTTCATTATTGTTGTTGCACATAAGATGAAGATGTTGATATTAAACAGTGTGTCGCGGGCCACATGAAAACAAGCCGCGGGCCTTTATTTGGACAGCCCTGCTATATATCATTTATCATGTTCGCATGGATCTTGGATAAATCGATGATTAGTGCCGGAATACTGAAACGTTACTCAATTTTAAGTCGTGCTCAAATATCGTGCCATCTCTGTCATTTTACAAAAAAATTGTAGAGATAGAACTTTACTTAAGCACGACTTAAAATTGAGTAGCTTTTCAGTATTCCTACATATGTGGTATAACTGTAACATTATACTTGTACAAATCGTTTCTTCATAATAAAAAAACAAATGACAACCCTAACGTTTCAAACAAAAAAAAAGGATTTTTGAAATCGGTCCAGGCGTCTTCGAGTACCTAATCGAGTAACAAGCATAAAAACCAGTCGAATTGAGAACCTCTTCCTTTTTTTTGAAGTCGGTTGAAAAATCTATAGGAAAATATAGAAAGAATAACTACAACTGCAAACTCAGGCTCTTATACGAAAAAAAATTATCATCCCCTTCTAAAACGTTTGCAATAACAATCACAATCAATGCAAATTTTCTCCATTGAAGAGGACATTAGCGCCAAAAGGCAATAATAGTTTCTTAAAATCGTTATTACAATAATCTTATTTTAAAATTAGGTCTCCGATCTTAGGCCACGTTCTCGTGCGCTTCTCTAGAAGTGTCTCGAAGCTCATTTGCAATAAGAGCGGTTGAAATGAGAAGCATAATGCGAGTTGGCTGGAGTTACCTTGCACAGTTCCACCACAAGATTGCAATAACCCCACTCCCTCCATCTAGAAGCGTCCCGTCTGAAAATTTGCTAGGTGCTCATTTTTAAACGGACTTACAAATTTCTTCGATTGCACAAAGGCTCTTTTGTGGGTGGGCTTTAGTTGTTTGTTGGTTTTTTGAGCGGTTCTTGCTTGTCCATTGTTTTAGTATCATTTATTAAATAACAGTAATAGTTTAGAAATGTTATTCTGACATAAACAATGGACTATGTCTACAAACCCTTAAAATATCCTCATATATAAATTTTTCTTAGTGCGAATTGGGATTATGACAGGGTATGAAAATTAAAAACCGAATTAGTCCGTAAGTTAAGTAATGAAAAATATTACACACGTATTTTTTTTATTTTGTCGGATAATAAAACAATACTTAGATAAAACGAATCAAAGTTTAGGAGTGGGGGCTAAAATGTCATTTCTACGTATAAAATGTACATAGAAGTGACGTCACGCGACATTTCAAATCAATTATATCGTCGAAAGTATTCGTTTCTGTAAGAAAATAAAAAATACGTGTCTAATGATTTAAAATAATGTACCAGACGGACATTACAATAAAAATTAGGCATCTACCCTATTGTGATCCATAAGAAATTCAGAATCATTTTAGCGAAAAACATCACATGAACGAGGAAACTTTACCACATCATAGGTTTTTCAATTGCCTCTTAACTTTTTCGATATCTTACAACACATAGCACCTTATTCAGCAATTACTTTCTATGTCACTGTACCTTTTTTTCAATATAACTTTTCCCCCATAACATTGTATCGAGCCATCCATACAAACTTGTTAATAGAAAAACCATTTTCAAAACACAAACCAATCAGGTACAACCGCGCAGAGGTGCACATCAAGCTATGCAAAACCAATTTAAACTGACCGTCGAATATGCAGAAAGATAATACAAAGTGAGGTCTTATCAAACTGGTTTTGAAAGGTCTATGTGTAGTACTACATTTGATATTGGTTTCCATTCAATTGCTGTTTTTAGATCCGATACCATATATATTCTATAGTATAATAATTATAGAAATTCGCAAAATCTGAACCTATTTTTGAAGCTATGTTTCCTACTAATTTTGTTTTCTATTGAAATTGGTGAATGAATATTAATACGCAATCTACTTTCATTCATGTTACTTTTTAATTCAAAACACATATAGATAGGTACTTAAAACGTTTCACATAATTAAAATTTGTAACGCACATTATTGAACACAACTTTAGTCTATTTATGACTTGCTTCTGCCCGCGACTTTGTACGCGCAGTCCTGTTTTCTCCCGTTCCCCTAGCATTATCAGGATGATTTCTATCATAAGAACCTTCTCTTAATAACAACAAGTACAACAAAAAAAAAGAATAAGTGAAATCAATCCAGCCATTCACGCGTGATGCAGTGAACAAGAGAAAAAGGGATTCATTTATATACATATAGATATCATGAACTTAGACAGAACGAAACGATTAAAAAATCAAGAAAGTTTATTTGAAGGTTAAAATAAAGAATGATTATATTGCAAGTCTAACTGATGGCACGGGCAGTAAAAAATAAGTGAACAGTTAATATGCTTCCCGAAGCTGAAAATCCACAGGTCGACTAGATTGCATTTCTTATATAACCATACGTTCTCGAGACGTATGTACCTTTCGAGTTTTATAAAACATTATAATCATCTATCGACTGCCTTGTTGGTCGAGTGGTCAAGGGGTCTCGGGTTCGATTCCC